CCAGAACCAGTTCTTTATTACTCTGTGTGCTTCTCAATTAATAAACTGTTAAACTTTTACTCCGTTTCCTGTGGTGTTCTGCATGTGGGTTAAGTCTCTTAAATCCATCATGACACCCAGAAGAAATATTTTCTGTCCAAGCCATCGGACCCCCATCCAGGAGGTTTCCGAGGAGGCAGGGGTGGCCCTAGGGACGGTGGGGGCTTTCAGCCGAGATAAGTAAAAACAGATGAGGGGTGCTGGAATTTTGGGTCACCCAACCATGCTTTAGGGAGTGTCCCAATCAGATACAACCACCTCATTAGCGGGGCAGGGGGAGAGTCCGCAGGGGCTGTTCTTCATCTGAGGTTCTAGAGCACAGGGGGATCCTGAGCCCTTAAAAACAGTAGATATGTATGGAGCATTGGAGCTATTAAATGCATTAAAGCAGGCATCCCCAAAGTCGGTCCTCGAGGGCCGCTGTCCTGCAGGTTTTAGAGGTTTCCTTGTTTTAGCACAGTTGATTATGATGACTGAAGTTGAGCAACAGCCTGTTAATCAGCTTTCAATTAAAATCAGCTGTGCTGGAGCAAGGAAATCTCTAAAACCTGCCGGACAGCTGCCCTTGACGACCGACTTTGGGGATGCCTGCATTAAAGGAAAACCATACATAGTACTTACAATTAATGGACAGCATGTTACTTTTTATGTGATTCAGGAGTCTGTAAAACTTATATTAAAGATAATGTAGGACTAAAAGCATCTAAAATGCACATGTTTGTACAATCAGCAAATTGTCAAACATCCCAAGAATGGATGTGAAGGGCAATAGAAAAAAAAGACCTTCAAACAGGAAAAAGGTTGCATGCTCCTGTAGTAATGTCATCAACTCTACCCATTAATCTGTTAGGATGGACTTGATGGAAAAATTAAGGAATTTTCCCCAAGCAGGGGGGCATGAAGGCTGAACGTGTAGAACATGTAATGGCGATTCAGCAAAATCCTCTTGTGTTTACATGCACTATGCTTACTGTCTCTACTCCAACTGAAAGAGAAAAGTGAACTTATGCAAAATGCTTGAAGCACATTGTCAGATCCACAGGATGAAACTCTGTTAGTTGAACAGTAGACCACTATGAATGTGTGCTTAACCCCAGATGAAAAGTTTGCAAAAATGTTTCTTAAGCAGGAAATTACGATCATGGCTACACAAAATATGTACACAGATGGGGGTGCGCTAGTGGCAGTTACTGTTATGATTTCTACTCAGATGTAAGGAATGTACCACTTACCATGGGTAAATCATTTGTCATTGGTTAAGACCAGTGAAGCACAGTGGAGAGACACAGGCCTGCGTTTAAAAGCTGCAGAAGGCGCATCTGATTTCTATCTATGTCCGCAACACACAAACCAGGCTGGCTCTATAGCCCTAACACAGAACTATGTAAACAGCCTTATAAAATTCTGTTCAATGCAGAAGCTCAGGTCCAAGATTTAGTATGAGATAAAACAACTAAGCATTCTTTGCTATCACAATCTGATGAAAATGATTTAAAAGATATTTTAAATGCTTTGTGGTCTGGAGGAAAAACAGACGTAGGACTATTGACAACTGTAGATCCAGTTAAAATAGTTCCTAAATTGCAATACAGATTGCGGATAAAACACAATCGGCAAAAGCAGAGGAAGGGATTAAGCCAGTTAAAAAAAATGTATTCGGTGTAGAAACATGTCTGTTATTTGGGCATGTTATTTCACAAGAAGGTAAAAAGATACAGGAAGAGTAAAATAACTCCAACAAGCAGTGGTTTGACTCTGAAATAATATATGTTAGACCATACAAATTACTGTTGTTCACAACACAAATGCCACCTAAGGAGGATCACATCACAGAGAAATGCTGCAGTTTAAAGAAGTGTCCTATGCAAATTCACTGCGGGAAGGATTGCCAGTGACGGCTGACCAGCACCACCAAACAGCAGTAAGAACTCTCACACTCTCTTCTTCAAAATCAACCTGCCCCCATCCTCTGGTTGAGTCTAATCCACCTGTGCTTCTAGAGTTCCTGCCACAACTGCCCCTAGGCAACATCCACAACATTGGAAATATTTATATGTTCTGTTTAAATATAATTTTTAAACAGTATTGTCTTCTTAGAGTGTTCAGCATGTGGGTTAAACAACTATCTAAAACCATGACTCCCTTGACTTCTGCATTCTTTTTATAGAAGTCACTGGAACTGTTGTTAGTCTCTCTTTCTATAGCATAATCCAAACTATCGGTGGTGGTTCTGAATGGGTAGGGTTTTGCTCAGAGAACCGGGCCCCTGGTTCATCATAGCTGTTCTCCATCTCCTCATGAAGCTACCAGATGGTCCCTGTTGGCCGGTCCAACCACAGCCTGCTGGATCGTTCACTGAGAGCGAGAAATTATACTCAAGTAAGAGCAGCACGACTTTAACAGATTTTTGCTGGAGTAAAAGAAAAAAGCAGCTTAAAAAATTACTGAAGAATAAAAAGTATTTGGTAAAAAGGCTCCTAACTGATCATAGCATCTGATGGACTTCATGAAATGATGTAATCAGACAGAGCAAAAAGTTTCTGTTAAAGACTAAAAGTTTAAAAATTTCAAACCAACCTTTACGTTGGATAATGTAACAATGACAGGGTGATTACCTGCAGTAATGATGTCGACCTTTAACCTTATATAACGCAGACCTCCATGTGTCATCAAAAGCTCAGCAGACTAAAGAAACATGAAAACATCAAAGCTTGTGTAGAAAATAAAACCTTTACTACTCCTGAAAGTACTTTAATGTGAAAAAGTTCCTGCTGTAAATTTCCCTCCTCACCTTCAGGGCCTCTGTAAGGTTTGCCCTGCTGGACATCATCTGCTGAGCACCAATGATTTAGAAAAGAAATCCCCACCATCTTCCTCCTGGACCTTTAATGGACATTCATCATTTATCACGTTATCAGTATTGGGGTCATTCAAGGACTGGGGGACATTTTATGTCCCTACCTTAGATTTTTCATTTAATGATGTACAAAATATAGAAAATGCACCTGTTAAGTAAATTACAATTATCCAGACACACAATACAACTGTACATGTAGTAAAATTGATTCCTAATATTTAAAATACTAAATAAGTCGTGACAAAATCTCACATCAAATATGACAGCATTTTAAATTTATTTTATGCCAAATGTATCCTATGTATTTGTAGTAATACTTTTAAATTTTGTTCCTCATAATGAAATGAAATTCTAAGATAACAACCCCCTGTGTATCTTTTTACCAATTATAGGTAAAAAGATACATGTTGATGGGTGCCAGGAGGAAATGAGAAAGAAACATATTTTTGATAGTCAGTAATACGATCTTCATTTGATGTAACTGTAATGAACTCAGAATGTTAGACCCAGAATTAGAGCAGAGACAGGGAGGGGGAAAATTCAAATAGTTTTTTCTAAAACAAACAGGAATGCGGGGCTGCTCGTCAGCTGCGGGGCGAGTCTCTGCAGAGATAGGAAATACGAGTCAGTGACTGGATTGTCGGGATGATCACGACCTGGAGCAAAACTCACTGACTTGATTCAAAGTTCAGTCCAATCACGGAGCAAAGAGTTGATGCCAAATGGGAGGTTAATTCCCAGCTTGCTGCGGGCGCCACCCCCAGAGTTCCTAGAGAGAACACAGAGCAGGTGCCATCTGACGCCGAGCAGCAACAGTGTCCTTGAGGGGAAATCCAAAGCCAGAGTCAGAAGACAGGTCCAAGTTAAGAAGCCGGCAGAATCCAGAAATCAGTCCAGAACAGATCAGACAGGGCAAAGCAAAACTCGGGATCCACTTGGCAGAAACAGGTCACAATGAGGAAAACAGAACAAAGTTTACAACGCTAGAGATAATCTCACCAAACTGGTCAAATAACCTGGCGCTAATGGAAGGCAAGCAAACATGATAAATAGCTGAGGAACTAGGTGGAAATGATCGCCGTTAATCAGCCGCTGGAACAACTAGACAGGTGAGCAGGAGAAAAGAAAAAAACAAATCATCAGCACCAAGATCATGGCAGCAAGAACAAAAAATTGATAAAGTATATTTAATAAAGTGAACGACAGAAGGTAAAGGAACATTACACCCTGAATTATATAGGTTTATATGTTTAGTGATCACAGTAAAAATGTACAAGATTTTAAAATGGAAGTTAAAAATGTATGTTTTATTTCAAAAGATGATGTTTAAAATAATCAGCAATAACAGTTTGGTTTGTTAGATGCCTTCATTTAGCTTTCATCTCTTCTGTTGCTTTAAATCGCTTTCAGTTTGTTGTTTATGGTATGTTTGTCTGCAGGTAAAGATCAAAGGGAGTTAAATGTTTCTATGATTGGAGGAACCAGAATCAACCAGATTTATCAAAGCACAGCAAAACCAGACCAGGAGGGACCAGTCTAAAGATCATTAGCCCTTATAAAAACCACAGATGAAAACAATGAGATGGAATTCACACATCTCTATTTATTCACTGGATTGCTAATAGCCCAAAAAAAATGTAAGCCACTGGCGACCATATTGGTACTCCCACCTCCCACAGAGTTATGCAGTAAAAATGTCTACATGTGTAGCATTTGGCTGCAAAAACAAGCAGTTTGCCGACTGCGGGGAGACATCTCACAGGTAATTTCACATGATCAATTTAGCACTTTTGGCACATCTGTATTATAATGCTCCATTAACACATTACTTTTATTGTGATAGATTGTATAATATGTTATATTACATTATTTATACACTTCATTTAGTTTCTATATGACTATGCAATGTGGTGGGCCTATTTGTTTTTTATTATAAGTTACAGTAATCTACTGATGCTATGAAACAGCCAGTGTTTATCAAAATGATTAATTTATCTTTATTTTAAAAGTTGTAAGTCCCCTTGAAAATGAGAAAATCATTGTTGATCAATGTTGTAGCGCACATATTTTTTACATTGCGACTGGTCTAACAGTCCCAATGTAAAAATATTGGTACTCCATAGGGAGTACCAATATGGCGGCCAGTGGCTTCACTTCAACCCCATACTACCAATGGGCCATCAGCAATTCAGGGAATAAATAGAGATCAGAGGTGGAACTGAACTGTCGACTTCCTGCTGAAGATGTTTCCAAGCTAACCTCTCAACCAGCGGGACTTCACCTCAAGACTCACTCAGGTTGAAGGTTGTTCATCTACAGATTCATTCTTCATCAGAGGAGCTTTCAGAGGATTAATCAGCCTGATTAATAGGACAGATGATCAGAGGAGCAGAGTTTTTACCTCCATCATTATTACAGGGACTAAATAATGGGTAGAGTTTGTCAGTGAAGCAGCAGCCAGTAAAGGAGTAGATCAGAGCTGCAGCATCTACATCATAGAAGGAGACCAGACCCTCCTCATAATCCACAAACACCCCCACCTTCTCAGGACCAGGATGGAGATGCAGACGGACTGGAGGATCAGCAAGAGCTACATACTCATTGCTTTTCCTCAACACAACAGTCCAGACACCATCCTCAGGACTCAGTGTGATCTTTCCCTTCCTGTTGATGGACTCTCTGGCCACTCCTAAACTCCAGTCAGTCTTTCCTTTAACCTGAACCTCAAAGTAAAATCTGCCTGAAGAGAAACTCTGACGTCCTAAAACATAAAGATAGATAGAAAATCTCTCTGGATTGTCTGGTAGATTCTGTCCTTTAGTCCCACAGTAAACCTGTTTTCCATCATCAGACAGGATGAGTCTAGGATGAGCTGTATCAGGATCCAGAGTCACATCCACTGCAGACTGCTGGACCCTCTTCATCTCAGCCTTCCTCATCATCTTCATCTTCTTCCTGATCTTCTCCTCCAGCTGAGCCACAGCTCTCACCACAGTCCCCTCATATGATGGTGGACGGACTCTGACCTCTGTCCAGTTCTTGGTGGGTGGAGCAGCTTTCAGGGAGGAGAAGCTTTGGAGGAGGTGGAGGTGGTCTTCAGACCGGGAGAGCTGCTTCACCTCAGAGCTCCTCTTCATCAGCTCAGATATTTCCTGTTCCAGATCTTTGATGAAGTCTTCAGCCTGTTTCTCTGCAGTTTTCTGTTTGTCTTCGATCTCCTTGATGAGCTTCTTCAGGCCTCTCTCAGCAGACTCCATCAGAGCAGTGAAGACCTCAACACCTTCTGCTTTCTCTCTGTCTGCAGCATCTTTACTGATCTTCACCGACTCTTTGATCTCCTGAATCTTCACTCGTCTGTTCTGGATCATCTTCTGAACTTCATCCTCTGTCTTCTTCAGCTCTGCCTTCTTTCCTTCAGTTTCTTCTCTCAGAGGAACAAACTCGTGGTTCTTATGGTCCAAAACAGCACAGAGCAAACAGACACATGTCTGGTCGGTCCTACAGAACAGCTCCAGAGGTCTTTCATGCTGCAGACACATCCTGTCCTCCAGGTTCTCCACAGGCTCCATCAGCTGATGTTTCTTCAGACGTGGAGCTGTCAGATGAGGCTCCAGGTGAGTCTGACAGTAGGAGAGGAGACACACCAGGCAGGACTTCAGGGCCTTCAGTTTGGTTCCAGTGCAGACGTCACAGGGAACTTCTCCTGGTTTGGCAGCTTGTTGCTCTGAGATGTTGATGCTAATGGCTTCCTGCTGAGCTTCACGTCTGAACTTAACAACCATCTCTTTGATGAAGGTGTTGATTTCCACCTCAGGTCTGGTCTTAAACAACTTGTTACAAAAAGGACACTGACATTTTTCATTTCCATCCCAGTGCTGAGTGATGCAGGCTTTGCAGAAGTTGTGTCCACATGGTGTGCTGACTGGATCAGTGAAGACATCCAGACAGATGGAGCACAGGAACGGATCCTCAGACCGCAGGTTGCTGCTAGAAGACATGTCTGAACTCTGAGGACAGGAGACAGAGATCAATGATTAGCAAGATGTTCCTGATCTGAAGGTCTGACATGATGTTCTGATCAGGCTACATGAGGTGAGTTCAGTCAGCTGACCAAAGGAGAAGAACATCTGATCACACTGACAGCAGGAGGCCTCAGGAGCAACAGAAGCTGTTATTCCAGGACCTGTTGTCTCTCAGAGAGGCAGAACGTCAGCTTTCTGAAACACTGTCAGTGTGAAACCAGATGCATCCTAACATCAGTTCTTGTTCACAGACTGTCTGCCTCACAGGGCAACGCTGACTGGTTCCAACACCTCCAAAAACATCAGACTTGGACATCAATGATAAGAGCTAGCTCAAGAGAGCTAACTGTTGATCCTGTGTTTAGTAACCAGTACTCACGTTGCTGTTGCTCTTTTTGGGCAAAGACTGTAGATCTTTCTGCTGTTTCAGCTTTTTTTTTGGTGGTGGTGCCATTGAGCTGAAATTATATAGCAAAACATTTTAGCTCCTGTTGATATTAGCTTGAAACACTGACAAAGTTAGCAGTTCACTGATGGATTAGTGAACATCCCAGGATCAATATCATTTCATTTAATTTGGTTTAATTTCATAGCATCAAGTCCCAACATGTCATCTGAAGGCACAGAAACAATTTTATCAGATCATTCAGACAAACCCAGCTTACACCACATGAAAAGTGAGATTTTCGTCCCCGTAAACTCCCGCAGATCTCCCTGATTTTCGTAAGTTTCCGACAATTTGCAACCCGCGCTTGTCCCCGTTTGTCAGTGCCACAAATTGTCGGGAACGGACTCTGACATACCGATCAGCTGTACTAATGGCCCTAATTAGCATATGAATGCAGCAAACCCGCGCGGCTGGCCAGGTCTGGCTTGAATAACCTTCTCAGTATTGGCTGAAACCACTATTCTCAAACAAGTAAAATCGCTCGTGATTGGCAGCACAACCACACGTGGCCACGCCAGGCTTTAATTTTCTTACTGAGTATTGGACGGAACCACTTCTTTTTAAACAAGTAAAGTCGCTCGTGATTGGTTGGCATATATATATATTTACATAAATATATATATATATTTACATAAATAAATATATATATATATATATATATATATATATATATATATTTACATAAATATATAGATATTTATTCATATATTTACATAAATATATATATATTTATTCATATATTTATTCATTCATATATTTATTCATTCGTATGGTGTGTATTTATGTTATCCTACACTACTACACAATTATTATGCTACCATCAAGGACATGAATGAATTTATACAGGAAATGAACATTTGCCAGGAAGCTGTTTATGCAAAGAAAGAGCTTTATTAAAACACACACAACTATATACAACGCGTATCCAAACACATGCGTTTCTAAAAATTAAAAGTCCGTGAACGGTCCGTTTGCTTCCTCGGGGTTGGAGGTAACTGGCAGCATTCCCTCCGAGGCAGGTCCGATGTGCAGACGCCTACTGTGCGTGGCCCTGTACTTCGGCATTGCTTCTAACCGGGACTGCAGCTTAACACAGAGTTCAGTGAGATCCGGCCTACGAAATGGCGGCGACCGTACAATCCATCCAGAGACACCGCCAACGACGCCATCTTCGTCAGACATCATGTTGACGGTGGCGGACTTCCAGAGTTCCACTTCCTCATCTGCTAGCACACTCTGCCTCGCTTTCAGCAGCTGAAAAAAAAACAATGAATCAGCGCACTGCGTATGGACACAACACATCTATTAATGCACCTGAAAAATAGTCACCAAATAAAGTTTTACCCTCTTTCTTCTGGCCCGACTCCGAGCAGATTGCTTGGCAGCCTCCGCACGCAACGTGTTCTCTGGCTGCGTATATCTGAAGCTCCTGCGTACCGTCTCAAAATACGTCTTACAGGCAGCTGGAAAACAATTAAATGAGAGTGGTATGAATAAAAAAAAAATCAAATGCAAGTCACAGTAACAAGGAAGGAGAAAACATTAAAACAAGTCTCTTACACACAATGTCGTCTTTATCAAAATCTGGACTTGCTGATATGGCTCCGAGCAAATAGGAGGTCACCGCCTCATTGTGAGGCGAGATTAGTCTGTGAAAACAAAATGTACAGCTATGATCGGTATCTATCCGTATCTATTTCCTTTTAACGCAGAATGAAAACATATTCTTTAAATCTTACCCTTGCTCCGGTTCATAGCGCCTGCAATTTGTCTCCGAGTTGTGAAGACGGCGTACTGCTTCCTGTAATCACAAAAAATACACTTTAATAAAGCTTGTTCTTGCAAGGCTACTATTAGCCGGAGCTTTAGGCTAGGCTGCTTTTAGCTTACCTAGCTAGGCTAGGTTGTCTTTAGCTCACCTTGCTAAGCTAGGCTGCTTTTAGCATAGCTAGCAGTAATCGAACATATATTTACCGCTAGCGTGGGGTTGTGCACCCGTCTTCTCTTCCTCGAGTTCGTCTCTCCCGCACAGATGTTCGACTGCAGAGCCGCCATCTTGTCCTCTATGGACAGCAACCTGGAGTGTACCGAATTCTTCAGCTAAGTGAGCCGCTCATTCATGTCGGCAGTATGCTGGGCAAGCTGACGAGACAGTCCACAGATAGCAATCAGCAGTTTCTTCTTGTCAGTCTGCGGACTGGCTGAAAGTTGTGGATCGCGACCAAGAGCAGTTGAAGGCTAGTTGAACGCGAGACGTCGTGCAGCCATTGTTCACATACCAGCAAAATCCAAACAAAGGAACTGGAGATGAAGTTCTTCTGTATGCTGGTCTCGCGAGAAGTAGTAGTTCACAAAAGCTCACACGTGATTGGACGAGGACTCGAAGGCTCATCAGGCTCCTCCAATCACATACGACGTCATTGTTATACGGAAGGACTCGCGAGACCAGCTCGCGTCTGGATGGACAATTGAAAATAAAATAAAAAAATTTAAAATTAATAGTTTAGAAATAAGTCAAACAACACCAGTATCAACTATACCTCCCTGGATTCTACCAGAAGCAACAGTAGATATGTCAATAATGAAAAAGAAACAAGATAAATCAAGTGCTGTAGATAGATCTTCAGTGCAATTACATTTAGATAAATATTATCAATATGTTCAAATTTATACTGATGCATCAAAAATAACTGAGAAACTAGGAATAGCATTTGTAGTACCAGAATTCAATATAAAAATAGGAAAACGAATTACAGATGGATTATCAGTATACACAGGAGAAATGTTGGCAATATTATTAGCTTTACAATGGGTAGAAGACATAAAACCATTAAAAACAAAAATATGTTCAGATTCAAGCTCTGCATTGTTAAGTTTAAAAAATAACCAAACAGATAGTAGGATGGACATTTTATTAGAAATAAATCATACACTGTTCAGAATACGAAACATGGGGCTGATAGTTACATTTGTGTGGGTTCCAGCACATATTGGGGTAGAAGGAAACGAGAGGGCAGATAAAATGGCAAAAAGGGGAATTAAACATTCTATTAGTTTTATAGTTAAAATAAGTAAATCAGAAGGAAAGAGTATTATTAAAGAGAAACTTATGGAAATTTGGCAAAAAAGGTGGGATGAAGATAAAACAGGAAGATGGTTTTATAAAATTCAGAAGATGGTAGGAGAAAGAAGAAATGGAAGAAGAAATAGAAAGGAGGAAAGAGTGATAACAAGGTTAAGATTTGGTCATACAGGACTTAATTATACACTTTTTAAAATACAAAAACATAAAACGGGCAAATGTGATTTCTGTGATAAATATGAAACCATAGAACATGTTATATTAGAATGTCATAAATATGAAAAAGAGAAGATATATGAGGAGAGAGTTTGAAGACATTAATTTATTAGATATACTGAGGAAAAATTTAGGGAGTAAACACATACAAATAATTATTCGATTTCTAAAGAAAACGAAATTATTCCATAGAATTTAATTATAGTAAGTGTGTTTGTGAGTGAAGGAATGATATACAAAGCTGTGAACAAATATGTATATATTTTTAAGTGTGAATGTATGTTTAGAAGAAGTTAGGGTAGAGTATATGTATATATATCAGGATAAATACTTAAACCATCACGAACCACACTCCATACCAGTAAGTGGCGGTAATGCTACTAACAGTTTGTTGCCAACCGCCATAAAACTCGACAAGAAGAAGAAGAACAGCTCGCATCACTCCATTCTGGAAGGTGGCGGTAATGCACCTATAAATTGTTTGTTTCTGCCAGTTGAGCGCATTGCTAGAAGATGTGTGGTTAATACATCCTCTGTGCATTTAAGTAAGACCAAACAACCCAGTCTCATGGGAAAATGTACCCCCACTACGTTGGTCCACACTGCAAAACGTAGTGGAGGTACATTAATGGCCATTTTTTGTGGTACTGTTACATTTCTTCTGCCTATACGCTTTCTATTGTTTTACGTCCTAGTCACGTGACTTTCAAGATTCCAGCTGGGAGAAGAAAAATATATATATATATGGCCGACATTCGCTCATTTTTTTGTGGAAGGATTAATAACTTGAGTTTGTTTTTGCATTAAAATGAGTTTTGATTACATTTCTAGTGAGAAATGTATAGTTTGTTGCCAGAATATTTACTCAGGGAATGTACATATTCACTTGCTTGTTCGTTTCTTGCAAAGATTTTTCAAGTTAATGTGAAACTGAAACGTTTTGGTATAAACATGGCTGAGATTTCTCTAACTTTTAGTGGGAAAATCAATAATTTCAATCAGTTTCTGCATTTAAATGGGTTTTGATTTCATTTATACCAAGAAGTGTAGGGTTTATTTACATAATATTTACTTAGTGAACATACATAATCACCCTCTCATGGTACATTTTCCGATGAGACTGGGTTGCAACCTGGTACATATATTCCTATTCCCACACACCCTTTTTAGAACCATCAGAATATATTTTAAGGTAATTATAATATGAGTTTGCTTGTTGGAATCATTAACTGCTTTAAAAAAATATTATTATTATTACTATGCTTTTCAAAGAATTTAAAAGGGTGTGTGGGAATAGGAATATATGTACCAGAGTTCAAAATACACATTTCTAAAAGAATTTCAGATCAACTATCTGTTTTCACAGCAGAGATGGTGGCAGTTATACTGAGTTTCCAATGGGTTGAGGAGGTCAGACCAGACAGGTTGGTGGTCTGCACGGATTCCAAAGCAGTTTTAGAAAGTATTCAGGGAGAAGGAAATAATAGGAAAGATTTAGTATTAGAAATTCAGCACAGTTTATTTAGATTATACAGGAGTGGCATTGATATTTGGTTTTGTTGGGTTTCAGCACATGAAGGGGTAAAAGGAAAGGAAAAGGCAGACAAATTAGCAATTAGAGGAGGCTATAACAATTACATTTCCTTTAGGGAAAGGGGAAGGAAAATCATTTATTAAGAGGAAAGAAACTGAAAAATGGCAA